TACGAGTACGAATATGCCAATAGATTCATATGCAAATATGATACTAGAATAGAGACGTGCATGGAATGAATGCTACAAAATGCACGTTTCCATAGAGGTAAAAAGCGAAACGAATTAATCCATCGTAAAGTTTTTACGGTTGAGTTGACGCGTGTGTGTTTCTAGCTTTATAACTCTCTTTTTGTCTTGGTATGTACTCTCAGTCATTCGATTGCATCGATTCGGTATCGACTCCAACTATTTATAGATTCGCATATGTGTTTCATGCCTGTTTATACCTTGTACGTATAATAGAATCAAGGTATTGCTTATCGTATATATATATCTTAGTCTAAAGTGCGCCTTTTAACACAATATCAATCCCAACTACTTATTTCAGCAGAATGCAATTGACTTTGACTAATTATTAGTCGTAGTTTATTAATTTGCTTTACAGAGTCGATAACTTAAGACGATTGCTTCTCAGCCTCTGAGAGCAGAGCTTGGCTCCATTCCTGCACCATGACTTCCATTGCCGGCCGAGGTAGCGTAACAAACAGATCGAATTCTGTGATAAATACAGAACCAACCAACTAGTGAGTATGATGAATACAGAACAAACTAGCCTTGGAACAAGTTCAACCCCATTCTACCAATACATTAGGTATACTAATACAACAGGAATACAGTTGGATATTACGCACAGTACATTAAATACGCACTCTAAAACAGTATGAAAAAGTATACATACTACCCATACCTTCTTCGTTCGCACGGATAGTCTGAGCGTGCCACCCGGTCTTTCCACTGGGAATACTGGCAAAGACCGGAATGCCACTTGACCCGAATTCCAGTCCATTGTACCAATCCTTGTCCGAAACCTGCACCGTTAGAAAGCTGGCGCCGGTGGAACCCCTCTGTAGCAAATACGTGTATTCCCATGACGTTAATAATTGGGGAATCATGTGTGTGTGCAAATAGTGAATACTATCATTGCTGACTTATCAAATGAAACACACTTCCATTACTACTACTGTATGTTCTGGGTATCCACATGTTGTATTTTCAGAGGCTGTGCCAGGCGAGAACTGCCGCATGTCTGTGGCAGCATGTAGTAACACAATGTGCAAGCAGATAGGTCTGATGACGACTGTGCATGGCATTGGGTTGATTAACGGCGCACCCATGATAGGACACACGTCCTGCAGCCATCTCTACACACACACACACACACATAACATTCTTCACACAGACACACAGACACACACAACTTCTCCACACGCACACACACGCACACATAACTTCTCCATACACACACATATATATAATTATATAACTTCTTCACACACACACATATATATATATATTTATATAAATAACTATATAACTTCTCCACACACACACACTTACATAGTCCAACATGATTCCTTTGTCTCTCCGCTCAGCCCCTTGGAGCCAATCCAACACGTCCTGCACAGCACTGCGTTGTTGTTGCGTGATGGCATGAAGCTCAATGGCATCTGCCACATCCTCCATCGAACACTGTGGCTGGCAGGAACCGCGTGCCAGTATTTAGGGTTAAGATCGGATGTATACAATGAGAAGCATTGGTCACCAATGCTTTGAAGTGTC